TTTTATCTGTGATACAAGGAAGTATTGTACCTACCATAGGGACCATGACCATGATACAGAGAAATGAGACACCTCCAGAGCGTGGTTGAGAAATTAATAAGACCTTGAAAGCTTAAGGATTTTGTGGTGTCAGAAGAGAAAGGCTCCAATAGAAGAAATCCCGCATAAGCCAGTTTGAGCGAACGCCATCCACATTATTGGAGCATATTTTTGGAGGTTGGAATTCATCTAAGTAAACATTATGTTCAAGTTAGTGTTCCATAAAATGAATATCCAAACTGACCGACTGGTGGCACCGACCAGCCCACTTTATGACTTCTCTGGCTAGAGAAAGGAGGCCCTGGGAGTGATTGCGCTATCATTTTATTGGAGAGAAAGTGAAAAGAAATTCATCTATATGTATAACATCTTGGTGGTAGATTTGGTGCCAACCTACAACACTATCTTCATTTGCCCCTTGTTGAACAACTACAAAGTCATGGTCTCAACGTACCACATGACGATGAAGATTGAGGGTGACAGAGGGATCGTCACCGTTCAGGGGAACTTGGGGCCATCCCAGACCTGCTACCTCCCTCCGAGTGGTTGAGAGAATGGATTGGGAGCCACTTGACCTGCAACACCGACTAGTGAGACTACTCTTAAAATCCCTATAGTGAAAGGAGAGCCTGATAAAGCTTTGTTAATAAGTGCAAATTTTGATGCATGGTCCAAAGATTTACTAATCAAGACCCTCTGGAAAAATCAGAATGTCTTTGCTTATTTGACAGCTAAGATGTAAAGGATCTTGCTCGACATCCCTTGTCAATGGTTGAACACAAATCTAGTTGTCCAACCAATGAAGAAAGAAAATTAGGTCCTCAATAATGAGTCTAACTGGAGTCAATGACGACCACAGTTGGCATGTGGCTACAGGAGTGAGAGGCTGGCTGTGGTCAACTGCAGTCGACAAGAGATGGTTGCAGATACATGAGGCTAACAATGGTCGACGGTGGTTGGC